GGGTGTTGGAGGCTGATGGCCAAATATGGAAATTTTGAGTAGTTCGGAGAATGGGCAGATTCCACCTCTGGCTGGCCCCAGAATGGGGTGGGAATTGAAGGGATAAAAGGGATTCCTCATTCAAAGAGGGAATCCCGATCTTCAGCTTACATCCCCTTTTATAGTTAACAGAACAAAGAAACCTGAAAGAGAAAAGTTGATTGGACGGGATAATAGCATACATATTTATTAAAATGGGGTTGAAGGGAAATAAATTCTAAGGAGAAAGGTTGTTTAGGGTTCACAAGAGACAAGCCAGACCCCAATTTGTACTAACAAACTTTTCTTATCTGGAGCTAGTCTCCAGCTGGTTTATCAGTTTAGGAATGTTAAAAGCTAATAAATCTTGAACATCACTTTAAAAGAAATAATATAAATCAGATTAAAATGCAAACTAACTATATTAGTTAAGAAATAACAAAACCCATGTTATTTGCCCCTCAAATCTTAATATTCATGCCTATGGTTGTGTGTGTGTTTGTTTCTCACGGAATTCAGTATTTAGAACAGACTCTGCAAGACCCATATGAAATCCCACCTAACCCCCGCAAAAAGAGCTCTTCTACAGGTACCTCATCGCCTTCTCGCTTCCTCTGAAAAAAAGGGGGAAGGTGCTATAATCAATAAATGCTCGGGATAGTAAAGGAAAAGAAACGGGGGTCGATGTTTATCCAACAGCTGAAACGCCAAGGCAGGGTTGAGATCGATACCTGCCCCATAGGGCAGCCCCGGCTCTTCTACCCACCCACCTGTACTGAACAGCCGACGAGCTGTAGAGACGAGAAGGCTGCTGCTGCTGCTGCCCGTCCATAAACGCGGCGGGGCCATCATCAGCCGCCACGCCGCTTCCATTGAGCTTGGCTTCCCCCTGACTCTTCGGCTAGAGGGCAGCGCAAAGACTACACGCAAGGAAGCCACTTCGGACGCTTCCCAGATCACCCCGCGCCTCGCAGCTTCCCATCCGCAGCGGAGAGGAAGAGGGAAAGTTGCAACCATAGAGATAAAAACAATGAATGGTAGACGTGTCGATCAAGACCTCTTTTTTTACACTGCTTTATTAAATATTATAGCCGATTCTTTTTAGCTATTCAGTTTAATTCTTTTTTGTTGTTGTTTTTATCCATTCCTTCTTTACCTTCTCCCCCAACAGAAGTTAGTTTCTCAAGATTCTGCTCCACGGACAGGGGCTGCATCACTAAATTAGTGATTTTTAAACTTGGGAACTTTAAAGACTCTGCGCTGCATGGCTGGCTAGGGAATGCTGGGAGTTGAAACGTACGCGTCTTGAAGTTGCCAAATTTCAAAAATACTGAACTAAATCTTCCATGTGAAACAAGATTCTGCACTGTTCTAATTAAATAGATTACCCGGTTTAAGCTGAAATAATTTATTATTTCATCCTGTAAGAAGTTAAAACCCACCCCTCTCCTAGAAAAATGAAAAATTCTGGGAAATATTGAAAAGGACGAATATATTTCCCTGGATAAGAAATGGAGAAACATGTTTTTAAGCAGGAAACAGACTCACTTTTAATAGCCCCCACCTTTGGCAATGGCCCATCAAAAGGCCTGAGCCAGTCTATTCTACATAACAAAGATCACCATTCAGCTCCAGAGTGATGGGATTAAGGAATGATAGTATTAGCCCTTTACCCATCTCACCACAGGGAACATGGGAAGAAGCAATGCTCAACCAAACTTGGAATCAAAACACAGCCAGTGATGGCAAACTTTTTTTTGGCTCCTGTGCCACAAGCGGGGGGGGGGGGGTGCAAAGGGTCATGCACGGGTGTGCCACACCCATAATGCTATGTGCACAACACACACACACCCCATTTTTGGGATGTTGTTTTTTTTGCCCTCCCTAGGCTCCAGAGGCTTTCTAAGAGTCTGGGGAGGGCAAAAACAGCCTCCCTGCCCCCCTAGGCCCCCTCCAGAGAGCTTCCCTGAAGGCTCTGGAGGGCAAAAACTGGATTTACAGAAAAACCGGAAGACACTTTGCTCTGGAGGGCAAAAAATGGACTATGTGGAAACTGGAAGTTCAGGAATTATGACTTCCAGTTTGTCTGTAGGGCCGTTTTTTGCCCTCCGGAGCCTACAGGGGCCTTCAGGAGGCTTTCCTGAAAGCTACAGAGGGCAAAAACCAACCCTCCGAGCAAACAGGGACTGAAGGCTCCGGAGAGTGAAAAACGGCCTCAAAAGGCCAAAATCAGCTGCCTCACATGCCCTGACAAATGGTCCGTGTGCTACCTGTGGCACGCATGCCATAGGTTCACCATCACGGGCCTACAGAGTTGCCTTGGGAGTCAGACAACCAATCAGAATACAAGCTCAAGATCAAAGGCCAGAGAGGGCATAAAACCAGGAACTTTCAGCNCTTTTTCTTTCCTTTTCCTTCTTTTGCCAAAATATTTTCCAAGCGCACCTGCAAAACCCTGTTCGTGCCCTTGATTCTTTATCAGGTTTTATAAACAAGTTCCAAACCCTTCCTTTGCAAAGTCAGTGAAGTCAAATAGGAATGAACAAAGAACATTGTTTCAAGAAAAAAAAACTTCAGGCTCAGGCTTCCGACTGGCAGATTCAACTTTTTTATATACTTTTTCTTCAAGTATCTTTAATATGATTTTATAAAAAATAGAAGGAGGAATTTGTTAAAACAAAAAAAAAGTTTTGGTTTAAGCCAAAAGAATTAAACTAGTAAAAAATAAGGAAAAAAACCAGTCCATTCACTTCAAGCGGAGAAAACAGGAAACGTTGCAATCACTTCAATCCACAAAACATCATTACAAGCAAAAGCAAAGAACTTTCTAAGGCAGTCCAATAAGGATTAAATTCACCGCTTTATTCTTACTTAGAGGACTAACATCTTTAAAGAAAAAAGGTTTCTTAGGGCAATCTTCTGAATGTAAAAAAAAACAACAGATGGAACACTTTCACTTCTTTCCTTCCGGAGCCGTCTCTGACTTTATCAGTCTGGGGGTTGCCTGTTTTGCCGCCGGTTGGAAGCACTTCCCTTGGGTCGATCAGGGACTTTGCGATGTCCATGCGACCAGCAAGGTTTTGTCTTCCTAGTCACCGTCTCTTCAGGACGGTTTAGGTCCTACCGGACCGTCCAGGGGCAAAAGTGTCATCGACGGACTCCTCCTCAACAATTTACTACCACTTGTTTAGTACTGTTCAAAGTTACAATGGCACTGAAAAAAGAGACTTATAAGCCAGTCCTTGCACTTACAACCTTTGCAGCATCATCTAGTCATATGATCAAAATTTGGACATTTGGCAACCAGCATCTATTTACAATGGTTGCTGTGTCCCAAGGTCACATGATCTCCATTTGCGACCTTCCCACCTGACTTCTGACAAATAAAGTCAGTGGGACAAGCAGGATCATAAGTTTAGTTATGATTAACTGAATTTGTTGAACCAATTTTCTGGAGCCACAAGTCACATTATACAAACATGTAACCAGTATGTTGTTGCCAAGTGATGGTGAAGTAAAAACACTGATGGAAGCCAACATACATTTGAATATATTATCCAGAGATTCTTTGGAAGCAGTTCAAAAAATTGCAACGGACAGAAAACAGAGCTTAATTCTAAAGGCTATTTTTGTTACTTTTGAAACCATTTATATTTTGGGATTGGAATTCTTAGAGAACTCATGTTTCTTGTAATCCGTACATCTAACATAAAAAAAAAATCAGATGCCACCTCCTTTTAACTGGCGAATACAAGGTGAAAATTCTACTTTTCTACCAAAAGGGTCTTGTATTAAAGACCGCTTATTTGTAATTTGATTCTAGAGAAATTGTGTTATCTTGTATTGAGCAATTATGCTTGGGCAAATCAAAGAGTTGCATTCTTGGTGAAATTCTGAATTGGTAAATTCTGAATAAAACATATTTCTTTTTTGAAAAGCTTTGCTTTAGAAATCAAGTATTTAGAATGTTTTATATTTAAATATAAACACAAAATACTATGTTAAGCAATAAAATCAACCATGTTACATACTAACTTAGCTAATAAAGAATGAGCCCATCACTTAATTTCAGATGTATTCCTAGACAATAAGCGAAAAATAGTGTGAATATAACAAAAAAATAATGAGAAATAACACTGGCATTTGAAATTCTGAGGTTATTGTTTTTCATACTGCAATCAACTGTATCCTTTTGGGAAGAATTTCAATTTCATGTATTACCTGTGTGTGGGTATATTAACTGTGGAAATAAGACATTGTTCCCAGGCAAAATACCCTTCTGAATCTTGAAGACATAGAGCAGCTCCTGCATGGCTTCTTTGAGGCTATCTTCTGGATGTATGTGCTGAAAAGACTCAGTCATTTAAAAAATACAGCCCATTACAGAACATTAGACAATCTTCAAGCTAAGCACTAGATTGTTTTAACAAACTCTTTTGACTAGATATATATTTATAAAATTTTACCATTTTCATTTGAAACAGAGTTTATGCCAAGGACAAGATCTTTTTGGTGGAACCACAGAGATTGTGTGCTCTTTTTGATGAAATACAAGCCGCCTCTTTCTAGTTTTAGAACATTAGCTCAAATGTTTCTATTCTGTGTTTAAACTATATATACATCAATTTTTTTATGCTATCTCCAAAATGTATTATTTTTTTCCTACATTGATAGTTCATAATGTGGGAGTGGCCAATCTTAGGAGTCACAGGCCTCACATTTACTTTTAAAATATTTTTGGGAGGGGACTGAAGACCATTGGAAATATAGTTAATTATATTGTAACTATAGTGAGTGAAGGCCAACTAGGGAATACAATTTTTTTGAACCGGGTAAGTTTTAAAGAAGAATATTAATATCTTAAGGATGAGGTACCCACTTTGATTCTTTTATTTCTCAAATCCAATGAAAAATTGATCTGATTTGATCAATCCTGCTTCTCCTAATCATTCTATTCAGCTCCTTGGAAGATTCTTCTTCCATCTTTCACTCACTTTGACTCTCTTTCTATTCTTTTTCCGCCCTGGAAAACTAAGCATCCAAACAAGTTTTAAGACCCAAATATTATCATAATATGACATAATATGTCATTTTGGTTTTCAGCACACTAACATCTCATAACCAAGGCAGTGAAAATCTTTTTAAATAAAAAGCAGGAGAGACTGTGAAAAATATATACAAGGTATCTACTTGTATCGTATTGAGAACCATTTGTATTTCAATTTCACTGAAATAGACCCACAAAATTAGAAGTCAGTCTCGTAAGAAGAAACAAATACTATACTAAAACTATTAAAAATATGGGTTGTGGGCATTCTACATAAACCAGTATGGGGGGAAAAACAAATGGTTAGATACAATGAGGAGGGACTACAATATAAAAAGATGGAATTTATTATTTGCAATTATACATTAACCAGGTTGGCAAATAACCATATAACGTATCCCATCCTGATGTACATATGAAATCAAAATTGCTTGAATGATACTTCCAAGAAATGGCATATCAGAACATTGAAGTATTTCAATTAATGAAGTGAAAGAAAAATAACTGGAAATAGAAAATAATTCAAAAGACGGAACACAATAACAAGGATGATGTTTGGATGGTTTCACCCAACCATCAATTTCTGCACACTAGCGCTACTAATAAATATCGCCCAGTAATGCACAATGTTTGTGGATAAATGTTGTTATGGAGAACTTCTTTTAGCGATTCATTCTATAGCGATTATATCGCTTGTACAAGAATTTAATCCTCTTATTCAGATTATGGTAATCGTCAACAAACATTCGGTCACCCTCCATCTTCTTTCTGCGAATGCATCTCTGCAGCTCATTTCCCCTCCATCCACGTAGCCATTCTGGCCCCACAATCAGGTTTTTGGGGTGGGCCTTGAAATCCCCTAAGAAGAAGAACACAATAGATAACGCTTTAGAATTCTATCACTTTGATTTTCAAAAAGGACGTTTATTCATTAATTGGCCCTTTTTTATCACAGACTACTACCAACTTCAATTGCAAAAGGCATTCCCTTCCTAAATAGAGTAGCAAATAAAAATGTCTTTCCCTTCAATTTATCAAAACCAATTACGTGAACTTTTCTCAGATTAGGAACTTCCATGACAATTTCCTTCTTCCAAGATTGGGAGAGGCGGGGGGAGAGAAAAAAAGAAAGATCCATTTAAACACCAGCCAGAATCACTAGAAAAGTTTGCAGGGAGCTTGAGGGATGGTAGACACATGACTCTAAGGGCAGAAAGTGAACAGAAACTAAAGAGCCTCTTGATCCTGGTGAAGGAGGAGAGTACAAAAGTTGGCTTGAAATGGAACATTAAGAAAACTAAGATCATGGCATCCAGCCCTCTCAATTTCTGGCAAATAGATGGGGAAGGAATGGAGGTAGTGACAGATTTTATTTTCCTGGGCTCCAGGAGATGGGGACTGCAGCCAAGAAATTAAAAGACGCTTGCGCTGGGGAGGAAAGCTACGGCAAATCTAGAGAGCATACTAAAAAGAAGAGACATCACCCTACCAACAAAAGTGTGTATAGTCAAGGCTATGGTTTTCCCAATTGCAATGTATGGCTGTGAAAGTTGGACCATAAGAAAGGCTGCGTGCCAAATCATTGATGCCTTTGAACTATGGTGCTGGAGAAGATTCCTGCAAGTCCCTTGGACTGCAAGGCGATCAAACCAGTCAATCCTAGAGGAGATCAACCCTGACTACTCTTTAGAAGGCCAGATCCTGAATATGAAACTCAAATACCTAATGAGAAGGAAGGACTCACTGGAGAAGAGCCTAATGCTGGGAAAGATTGGGGGCAAAAGAAGAAGGGTGACTGGATGGAGTCACTGAAGCAGTAGGCATGAGCTTAAATGGACTCCAGAGGATGGTAGAGAACAAGAAGGCCTGGAGGAACGTTGTCCATGGGGTCACAATGGGTCGGACATGACTTCACAACTAACAACAATAACAAGACTACATGTATCTCTCCTATATATGCTGTTATTGAAAGACAGGTAGGGACAATCAATTGTAAACTAATATTTACCCAGAATTCCAATATTATCATAGACACCGAAGAGTGCTCGTTTCTCATTCCATCTGTCAACCACTTTTGGAGGAGGAGGCTCTTTCACCAGAAATTTGGGGGGTTCTGATTTAAACAAAAAAGTAAAAAAAAATTCAATATCAATATCTTTAAAGATTGCCTTTGAAAATCTTATGACGTCAAAAGTTGGAGCTTTTGTGCAGCATATTTACAGACCAACCTTTATATAAAATATAAAGTTAAATTGTTTCTTTTAAAGCCCTCTAATGGCACAATATCACTGGACAGTTTTACAAAATAAATTTACTGGTCCTTAAACAACTGTTTACTGTATTTATAAAGAATATCTAGTCCAGTGTTTCCCAACCTTGGCAACTTGAAGATGTCTGGACTTCAACTCCCAGAATATACACACTCCCAGCGAATGCTGGCTGGGGAATTCTGGGAGTTGAAGTCCGGACATCTTCAAGTTGCCAAGGTTGGGAAACACTGATCTAGTCAACCATCATAAGTGTAGTACAGGTAGTCCTCAGCTTACGACCAGAATTGGGATACAACTTCTTGCTCTCAGCAAGGCAGTTGTTAAGTGAGTCTCACCCAATTTCATGATCTCTTCATTCTGGTCATTAAGTGAATCACACCGTTCTAAGCAAATATGGCTTTCCCCATTGGAACTTGGCTAGAAAGGTTGCAAGTGACTCTGCCATATGGTTCTGGAAGACAGCAAGTGTCATAAATACACACTGGTGGACAAGTGTCTGAATTTTCATATGTGACCATTCCGCAACAGTCATAAGTGCGATAAGTTGTAAAACACATTTTTCACTGCCGGTGTAATTTTAAATTTGAATGGTCGTAAGTTGATGACAACCTGTACTGCAAGATTAGTTACAAATAAGACTGCAAATAAACAACTTCTGGACCAAATGGTCTCACACACAGCACAACAGGATTGCCCCATTCATGAACTAAGCTACTCTTATTCAGAACTCCTATATTAACTGAAGCTGGAAATAAGAACTGTTAGCCATTTGGGTCACTTGGATTTCAGTGTCAATTATTATTTTAAGTGCAATCTAATGGCCAAATATGGCCTTTTCAGGCTCGTGCCTCGGTGTGCATATTTTCCAATGAGACAAACCGAGACAGGAAGATCATATTATTACCATGTATCAGAATATTCAGACAAAAGGGATTCCTCATTCAAAGAGGAACCCCCGATCTTTAGCTTACATCCCCTTTTATAGTTAACATAACCTGAAAGAAAAAAGTTGATTGGACAGGATAATAGCATACATGTTTATTAAAATGAGGTCTGAAGGGAAATAAATTTAGGGTTCACAAGAGATAAGCCAGACCCCAATTTGTACTAACAAACTTTTCTTATCTGGAGCTAGTC